GTGGAGCATTAGTATGAGGCCTATTTTTAGGCACTTCTTTTCCAAGCCTGTGAAACTACTGATGGACCTAGAAGGTCTTCACTCTCGTTTGTAGACAGGAGAAAATAAACATATTCCCTTATTGAGCAAGTCTATCATTTGTGGAACCCGTGTATAGCACTATCAAATATCTACTTCATATCTCTTTCAACGGGGTTGACGTCTCTTTTCCTCTTGAGGTTTTCAAGATGATTTCTTTGCGCTTCTTTCTTCTTTCTTTGCTGATGTCTCTATTTACCTTGATGATGGGTTGGAAGAATTTTGGGTGAGGCATGTTTGGGGGCGTTAGCGCTTGCATTTGCATCTTGTGGAGAAGTTGATGCATGGAGGTTTTGCCATGTTCTTCGCGTTGGTCACCTCGTGAATCATCTCTCTAGTGAGGTGGACAACAACTCTTCTACCTCTCTGATAATGTGGCCAATAATTTTGGGTGTCTCAGGATGTCAAGTCTTCTTTTTAGACGTCTCTCTTGTTGCTTTTCACAAGTTTTAGTTCCACTCATTTTGGATCAAACACTTTTTTCTTCAAATATTAATACAAGGCTATAAATTTTGTTACATATCTCTAGACATAAATAGAAAGTACTTTATTTTCAATAGTAATAATTTAAAAAATAATTGGAGGCACTTAATAATCAATTATTTTAAATCATTTATCATCATTCCAAATAATATTTATCAAAATCTTAAAAGATAGACTCACTAATGTTGACAAGACATGCCATCTTAATAGCATAATCAGTAAATTATGCTCTTATAATTTACAAGTTGACCAAGTAATCTTACAAACTCCAAATTGCAAATACATAATAACAACATGCAATCATTTATAGTAGATTTATCCACTGAATATAAATAATATCTAGATGGTCAAAAGGGAGGATGATAGACACATCCAATCTTGGCATTGAACTTTAGTTTAGCACTATTCGGTCCTCATATTTTGACTTTCATTTAGATCATGCCCTACAAAAATTATATCCTCATGTCCTTCAACTATTTCCCCTTGTTCAATTTGGTTTCCAACTTCACTTTTTGCATGATTTTAGGTATTAAATAAGTATGCAAAATCACAATTATCAACACTATGAAACCTAAGCAAGAACAAGACTATCAACTATCATAATCATGCAAAATGAGATAAAGATCAACACATTAGATAGCTTGCCAAAAATGTCAAAGAGTGTAAAATTATATAATCAATTCAAAAATATGCTCCAAATAATGCTAGTAAAAGTAATTTAAACTTATCCAATGTTTGATCAATGTGTGTGCGCATATTCACTTTCAATTGTCATTTGAATCAGGAAAAAGATTGTCAAGACGGAAAAAGTTTCAAATTCGCTCAAATTCGACCCTTAGTGGTCAAATATTTCCTTTCCACTAGTGAGATTCACATAGTCAAATAGATATTTATTTTCTTTTCCCAAGTGTAAATCTAAAGGTTGCTCTTAAGTCACTCATTTCTTTTCTCGCTCTTATTTGGTTGGGCCTAATCGACAATTTCAAAATCTAGTCATTTGATGATTCTCCAATAATGAGCACTTAAATATTTAACCTTGTACTAAGTAATTCAAACTAACTAATTATCTAAACCCAAATATTGATATAATTGCACCAAATCATTTTTTTTTCCTTTTTTGATTAAATCTCACGTTTTATCTCACTCCCTTAAACTTTCTTTTTGACCCTTGTAGCAAGATTTAGGTCAATAGCTCCTCAGTTGTTTAGGCCAAAGGATACCAGGATTGAGACACCCTAGGGGACTTAATAACTCGAGTAAAAAGATCTACGAGCGAGGCATAAGATTACAAGTGCAAAATCATTCTTTTTTAAGCACAACAAAACTACATGGGGCTTAGATCCCTAACATATGGTCATTAACTAGTTTATATTTGGCAAAAGACACTTCACACAAATATTTTCAACATGCATGAAATCAACATATTTCTAGATAATATTCTTCACTGGCTTGACTATCTTCAAACTTATCTCACAATATGATTAAATGAAAGAGAAGAGAATGAGAATGAGAATGTAGTATTGATGAAAATTTATGGACAACTCACAACCTAAATCTTACTAATTCAAAAATCTCTTATCAATCAAAGATTTCAACATCTAGATAACAATTAATCATGCTTATTGTGTTCAAAGTAGTTCAAGATCTTATACTGGATAAGTATTTTTGAAAAAAAATTTAGACAAATAGCATATTTGGTCATATCTATGAATCAAATAATTTTAAACATCAAACCATTCTAAGCCAAGAAGGCTATTTAACATGTCAACACAATCAACACAAAGCAAGCATCATTACCTCAAATCTAAATCAAACATTGTCCTCAATATGGAAAAGAACAAGATTAAAGGTAAGAAGGGGATTAATGAGACTTCTTCGGTCAGACATTTGGTAAAGGGGTACCAATGCTTGACTTGGAATTGTGACGATTTCAATGAACTTGGACAAATGACCTTCTTGTACAACAATTTATTACCAAACTTGTGAAGAGTAATGGATATATGGGATTTTGAAAACTACCTACAAAAATGATAACTAATCAAATAAAAGCATGAAAATGCATAAAAATAAATAAAAAGAATAAAAGTTAGAAAATTGAGTTGCCTTCTAATAAACCTTTTTTTTAAGTCTTTTAACTCAACTTTGTCAAATGCATTATGGCCATCCGAAAAAAGTTTTAGATGCCTTGCCTAATTTTCTTCACTTGACTTTGTTCCACTCTTTATTTGATCTTCAAAACTCAACATTGCCATTTTCCATATAATAGGACTTGCATATTCCATCTAATTCAAATTTAACTATGAAGATCTCTACCTCTTCATAGAGCTTAATCACAAAATCATTATCTTGACAATCATCTAAGTTAGAAGAATGTAAGTTGATTTTCTCCTCATGATTGCTACATCATCGTTTAGCTCCATTATTATTAAATTCATTCATTTTGAGCTCAATCAAACTCCACGATCAATGGCAAGTCTTTCCTATTAACTCCATCAAGTGGATAATACCCCATTTTTAAAATCCATCCCAATATGCATAATCTTCTACAAGCATGTCCTTTTTATTCAACTTGGCAAGTTCATGGTAATACTTTGCAAGTACGTTCTCATTAAAAAATGGAGGACCATCTCTTGAAAATTTGATATCTTCATCCCAATCGTTAGGTACATTATCTTTCGCGAGCATGTAACTATCATCAAAATTGTCTAGTGCTTATTTTAGACATGTCAAATATTTGTCTAAATCAAAGAAATTTCGGCCTTGAAGTATCGGTGCAAGAATATAAGCATTGTCCTTCACAATGCATCACTTGACAAATTTCCCATCTTGGATCCCCAAATATATATCCATAGTCAATGCAGATATTAGACATTACAAAAACTTTATCACTATACCAACTTCAGAATCATAGTAATGTTTTGAAAATCAACCCAGACTTCGATCCAAAAAAGATGAAGGTCAAAAGATTCAATTGGAGTCAAATTGGGATTGAACCGGATGCATAAATAAATACACACAAATAATAAAATACTATGAAATTAATAATTTTTATAATTTTCATATTAATAATTCAAAGTAACATCTATGTTTATTAATGAGATTCATTATCAAATATAATTTAAGTTAAAATTGAAAATTAAATAAATGAAAAGATGGAAGTAGATATTACAATTTTGTTAGTTGGGATTTTCAAAATCATATATTTGGATTGGAAAATTGTTTTGATAGGCATTTTAAGCTTTTTTTCTTATACCACTATCCCACATCGAAAGTCTATGAAAACTCTAGAAAGAAATGCATCTATAATACTACTATTCCACATTGAAAGCTTATGAAATAATTTGAGAGAAGTGCATCTATAAAAAGAGCATTCCATTCAAAATTCATCTATGGGCCTTCGATAATTATACTGTATAAAGTCTATTAATAAAAAAAGTTAAAAATCTTTAAATTAAATATTAATATAACCAGCATTGAATCACGATTAAACTGACTGAATCGACAGGTTGTGAGTGGATTTTGTGCCAGTCGGCTAAGCAAGCAAGATTGACCAATTTTGGATTTGGTTCCCGGTTCTATCAGTTGAATCGATCGGGGTCGATTTTGATAACATGGCTGAAAAGTGCATCGAAAGACTATCACATATAAGATTTATTAAAAATACGGGGTTAACCAAAAGATATAAAAAAAAAAAGCAAATAAAATAAAATAAAATAAAATGTTAAAATTAAAATTAACTAAAGTGGTAATCAAAGTAAAACATTCATTGATAACGGTACCAAAAATTTGTTTGCTATGAAAGGTGCAAATTGCAAGTGCACGGGTTTCGTTCAATTAATAAAATGGACTTTTTGAGCCCAGATAATCGATCTCTTGAGGAATGTTTACTTTTAATTACACAACTTTAACTTATTTAATTCTAACAATAAAAAAAACACATAAAATAAAATTATGATTTTAATATAAGGAAAAATAAACTAAAGCTCTACAAACTAGGAAAACATGAACACTTGAAAATTTTGGATAAAAACATTGTTAGGATTCATGGTTTCACTTAACCGTCGTTTAATTAATTTCCCTACAAGCTAATTAACAAATTACTCAATTATGATGTTAGACCCGATTTTCAAGTTTAGTTAATTAATTTCTAGAAAGAAATTAACATTGATTGATTGTTTTATCTAATATATTTTTATGTAGACTAAAATCAAATAACCACATTAAATCTTTGTGAAAATAGTTCAATGCTTCATCTAGAGTTATGAGTATATCTCTATTTCCTACAAGAAACTATAATTTTTATTATTTGTTTTAAAATGCACAAACTTCTCTCGAACGATGTACACATTATTAAACACTGTTGACGTCCAAAAAATCAGCTTGTGAATATTTAATAGTCACTTCTAAGATGATGGGCTAAGCAGTCACCAAGTCAACTCATGGAAGTCAGCTCTACCCAAGAGCTCCATCGAGGTAGGTCGGCTCATCTCGAGGTCTGCTCTACCGAGGCAGGTCAGCTCATCCCGAGGTCAGCTCTACCCATGAGCTTCACCGAGGGAGGTCGGCTCATCCCGAGGTCAGCTTTATCGAGGTAGGTCAGCTCTACCTATGAGCTCTATCGAGGCAGGTCAGCTCATCCCGATGTTAGATCTACACATGAGCTCTACTAAGTTAGGTCGGCATCGAGGTCAGCTCTATGCATGAGCTCCACCATGGCAGCTCAGCACGACCCGTGTCATGCTGAAACATTATCATTGCAATTCTGGACACGTGTCTCTTAAATGATGTCATAACCACCCGGACGACCATTCCCAAAGCGACAAGTGGAACCTATGACATCAACACCTCATTTTCAGCCAATAAGTTATTAACAATGATTACTAAGTGTCAGGTAATCATGACCCAAGTCATTATGACTTGTTCGACCGACTTTTACAGCCAATCGTCATCCTTGAATTTAGGATATGGCACACACTTCTAGGTCGGTATTATAGCTGATGTGATGTAGGAGGTCCAAGTTACTTGATTAGAGGCCTATAAATAGAGGCCAATGGTATTCCTCAAGGAGAGAGACTTCTAACACCCCTCATTTGCTTCAATCAAGGCAAGTATTCTCATTCTCTCACTATCCATGAGCCAAAATTACCCACCAGCTCGATCTCATCATGAGCCATTCATACTGACCTTAAAGAGCCAATCAATAGTCAATGAAAGCATTGTAGATATCATATTTTTGGAGGCCGATTGGCTGTTTTGGGAACCTATAAACATGACTGAATGGTTGCCCAATGGAAGGAAGGAAGGACATAAATACATATTCTACAAACTTTCTTTTCAATACAAATTTCTCTATTTTTCTACTATTTCATCATTTTTACCTCTAACAAATCACCTATTAAGTTGGCTCAATATTAGTCTTACAAATTTTGACATCTACAGACACAATCATTTTATACAAATAATGAAAAGGAGAATATTTTATACAATACATTGCAAATAGGAGATAATAATGAAGAAAATACAAAATTAAAGATACAACCCTTTTTGTTGACTATTTGAAGATGTTAATGACTTGAACTTGATCTTCTCAAAATCTCTCCATCTCCATTGGTTGATTCTCCTTATGCCCTTGATTTTGTCCCCCCCCCCCCCCCCCCCCCCCCCCC